TTATCAACCGATAAGAAAGAAACCTAACACACAAGGGGTCAAAGTTCAAGTCAAAGAAACAATCAATTCCAATACAATTAGCCTAGAAGGTGTGAAAACACACAAAAACAACCAATCACGTCCAAGGTCACCGGGAGAGATGATTAATAAACTCGTGGAGAAATCTAAAAGCTCACTTCAAATTGAAGTATGCGCTGAAGATGTCGCCTAGTAGGGCAATGAAAGCTTCGCAAATCAGCTATCCAGCTCAGAGAACACAACCACATCAAAATTATTCACCTGAGCTACAAACCTTCTCCATCATATCTCTGAATATTTACACCTAATATTCAATCCATGTATACGTCAAACTCCTCTGTGTGTCGACATATCAACCTATCAGAAAGAAATGTACACCACCTTAGTACATCACCTCAATATCGAACTGATATTCTCCGTGTGCTTTACGAAACAGCCTGTCTCCTTCTTATCAACATAATCTTCAAAACCAGTCCACCCCTAAATAAATGTGACGACTGCATTTCCAAGCAGTCGATGATGCCTTGCATTAAAAGACATTCACGTAGTTTGTATTCAGTCGAGTGAGCAGATTTCATCACACACCTGGTGATAAGACGTCAGGCGCATTTCACATCTCTCAAAGCACTTTATCCTCCACGAGTCCATCCATCATATACTATATCTGCATTATCTCTTCATACTTAATACTTCCACCAATATCGTCCCACTCAGTCAACATAATATCACGACCAACTACTCACATGAAACCCTATTTTCAGATGTCTTCATCATTTCATTAAAGTTGTTCATACGTCAATTTCTCCATCTCCACTCTACACACTTATAATTCATGGATTTCACTAAACACCGAAATCACTGGAATTCATTTCTTCACTCTTGACAATCAAATTTATCACAATGTAGAGTCTAGTGGACAATAGAGAGGGAATTTTATTCATTATAATAAAGGTTTTTGTATTTGTGCGTCAGTGGCACAGCGGTTAGGACGCTCGCCGATCATGCACATGGTCCGGGGTTCGATCCCCAACCGACGCACTCCTTTACCTCGCTATGCTAGTAATAGAACTGGCAAAGAGGGAAGGTTGGGCATGAGGCTAGCAACCCCATCCTGTAAAAATACAGACTGCTACAGAAACTTCAAGCCTCTAGTTTGAAGTCCTATGTTCCACTGGGAACGTAAAGGAGTAAAAAATAATAATAATAATGAAGGTTTTTGTATTTCCCAATGAATGAAAAACAAAACGATACTGTCTTTACTGACGTTTCGCTATTTAATGCTAATAGCTTTATCAAAGTATTATTAAACCGGAATTTACAAAAATTTACAACACCTCCCTCCCCCATCAAGTGACAAAATCAACACGAATGTGACAAGCAAGTCCACTATGTAAACACACACTGCCTTTTTAATTTTAAACACTGATCAAATCCAACAATCTACACTTGATTTGTTATCTTTACCAATTGACTAACTTGACAACGAAAAATGACCCTAGACTGACGAACGATGATCAAGTTAGTAAACTTTATTTTTATATCATAACAGATGTACTATTACCTTTGATATTTGGTTTAGTGATCTTCATTGCTATTTTGACTTTCAATATGTCCCTTTAACTTGACCTAAGTCTATTTTCTCACCCCCTAACTGTTTGTTATATATATCCTGATATTTTGTAAATTCCGGTTTAATAATACTTTGATAAAGCTATTAGCATTAAATAGCGAAACGTCTGTAAACACAACAATATCCTTTTGTTTTTCATTCAATGAGAAATATATAAACCTTTATTATAATGAATATCATATACCCAATGCCCAAGTTTTTTCAAACTGTTAAAAGTGAACTTGGTTTGGACATATATAAGGGAATTTTATTCCTGTAAATGTAAAATCCTATGGATAATTAAGACTGAAAATTCTGCAGCTGGAGAATCGTTAGACACGATTACGAGATCAGGGAAATAAATTCATCAAACTATATGAGACATTCGAGAGGTTCGTACTCGCAATCAAACCAAGGATGTTTAGATTTTCTCCTAGAATATGTTGGATTAAATAATAAAATGCGATTGAATAATCATAATTCTCCAATCACTTGTAAGCTAACTATTTTGACCAAATGAAAATCTAGTGCCACCTATCAGGAACCAATACTCACTAATCGCTAAGTCTAGCAGCTATACAGTGAATCAACGTTCAGAAGTTTTCCCTGAATGTCGTAACTTTTTAGAAGAAGCGTTTGTGAAATGAGAATGAACTGAGAACACAAAAATCAGAAAAAAGATTTCTTATCACAGCTTCTCTTCAAAACTACACACACTTATCCATAGGCTTAATTTATCGGATATTAATTGCCAATAGAGATCAAAGGTTATTGTAAGTTAGTAACAAAAATATATGAGTGTTAGTAAGATAGCAACGTGTGAAAAAGAATCATTAAGAGGAATGATTAGTTGGGTTTTATGCAGGACACTTCGAAGGAAGATACGACTCTCACAACAGAAACAAACGTATTAAGCTATTTGCTAGATCTGATAAAGAAAGGATTGACTGACAATGAAACATGTAATGACTTGAGAACCAAAGGACAGAGGTGGCTTCTATTTATGCTTTGCCGAAAACGTACTAAACAAACATCACCTTGAGAGCAGTAATGTTAACAGGGAACTCTTTGTGCGATAAACTAGCTCGTTCGTTAGCAACGGAGTCGGGACTCCTTCACGATACACTGCCTGTAAAACTAGTAAAAGAATTATTCGTGCACATATATTTGCCCGAAATCTAAAAACAAACGATATGAAATTTCACATCGAAGAGATTTGTGTTTATGCAAGTTACGTAGATGATACAATCATGATTTGCCGTTTGAGAGCACGGAAACTACTGTCTGCGGATGGATTGCTATTATTGTAAGGAAGAAAAGACCGATGAGGCTCGACAAACTCATTGTAGGTACATAGATTTGGTATACCATATCTCCTATGCTTTATTTGCAGTGTTCGAATACCACCACAATCGATATCTTGTTGAATTCTGCACCGTGTTTCAAACGTTCTGTTTACAGTTTTGTTCTTAGATTGCTTTTTCCACTGTCCGAAACATATTGTTGCTTTTCTGAATTCGTTTACTGATATACTAGCTATATCTGACTATACGTAGCATTCACCACATTATTACTAAAAAGAGAAACTTGCCTGTTAAGCAACTGTCTTGAAATAGGTTTCCAAAGAAATTACGGTAATCTAAAGAACACTTTCACAATCGAGAAGAAGCCAGTCTTCAAAAGAGGTAATGATACACACCGTATGAGCAGGAGACTGAGAATAATGCCTGCTACCACTGGATTCGCTTACAGTATGAGTCGTGGTGTTGTTTTTGTCTCATTGAATCACGATTACCAGACTAGATTTCTGCTGAGTAAACACTTAACACGTATGTCCTCATATCATTAATCCTATGCATTTTTCAGGCTGTTTGGCAGTGAAGAGAAGCCTGGAAATACAGTGTGCACATTTTATTAAACTACGAATCTTCTTCTTGTTTTCACAAATATCCGGTTCCTTTGATGACCAAATTCGTACACTATTTGGATTGTTGTATTTCTGTTCACCTTTTGAGTGAGTTCTAAAAAGCATCCACAGAAAAACTTAGGTTCAAAATTCCAATTCATTCCGTTTTCTTCGACTACTGTTTGTTTAGTGGACAATGAGAAGTGATAAAGGATAATTTCCGTTGGTCTTTCTTTTACATTTCAACAATCTCAACGAAAAATATAGCTAGCTAACTACTTTTTCATTTCAAACTACCCCTTGGCCTGCAATCTTAACCGGCAGCTTTACGAATTAGTATAGACTGAAAAATATTGTAGAGCGAGATCAAACTGAGTGCGACTGTGCACAAACAATAACGGATTTCATGTCACATCTTCTGTCTCTGTCTGGCCAGATACGGGATCTTGTCCTTCTGAAGATTCTATCTCTGTCTGTCTGGATTCAACATAGAACTTGGCACCGAAGTGCAGCAGTTCGAGTTGCCACGTTCCAAAGAGCACACAAAGGTAGACAAGAAAATGAGTGAAGAGAATCAATAGAGTTTTGACAAGTATAAGAGTGAAACAGAATGAGTAATGGTAGAAAGGAATATGAAAGATAACAGAGACTGAATACATCTGTGTAAGCCATTGACAACGATTTTGAGCCATGTCACCTATTGTCTCCAGCCACTGAGTCCAGAGGGCCCCAACCCGGAAGTCTGCATCTCCCCCTCCTACCTGACTCAGTTTAACTGTCAGGGATTTCATGGATTGATGAGGCCATGTTTTTGTTTGGCGTGGCACCACTTACTCTTTTCCAACCTGCACCTATATCAGCTAGTAATGCCCGTCGGGGGGGGGGCGATGGTTGGGCATGCGCAGCACGTGATTTAGCCATCTCAATCTATGTAACTTCGATTGATTTTCCCTCTTTGCCCAACACTACGCCTAACGTCAACATTACTTACCTTATTATACCACCTAACGTGAGAAAGAGATCGTAAACATCTGTGGTCAAAAACAGACAACCTTGCCATGTCTTCAACTCGTATTGGCCATGCTTCAGAGCCATAGAGAAGGACGGAGCGAACTGCTGAGCAGTACACACGTCCCTTGGTTGATAGCCGGATGTTATGCCTACGTCAGAGATGGTGTAAGTTAGCGAAAGCAGCTCGAGCTTTTTGGATCCGTGCTGAGATTTCGTCACCAATCACATCCTCTAGGATGACTGAAAACAAATTATCGGATAATAGGAATAGGTGTTGAGTAAACCCTGGAGAGCGGTCAGTACACGCACAATAGTCTCAAATTGAAGCAACGATTGAGTCAAATAAAAAGAAGACTGTAGTTCACACCAATTACAATACGGCGAATAATGGTTGAACGACACCTAACTTTTCTGTATTAACTCAGATATATTCTTCATCGAAAATATTGCGAAATGGTAACTGAAATGTTCTCTTCAACTTAATTACTATTGTGCTTACAAGCAAATTTCACAATCGATGTGTCACAGACATACTGCTTTATACGATATTGTTACAAAACTATAATAATAATAATTGACCAAATGGACATGTAAATAACAGACTTTTTAGTTTTTTTACTTTAAAGTCAACAACAATTTAAGGTAATACGCATTGTGAAAGCCATGATTTATTCACAAAATGATATTAATAAAAAGGAAACACTAAGGTAAACTTTAAGCGAAAAAACAAGAAAATGAAAAAAAACCAAATCCAGTCAAACAAAATGTGAGGTGGTAAAGTTGGGGAAAATTTTTGTTGCCTAAGTGTAAACACGAACTGAATTATGAACAATACAATAAAGTGAACGTATGTTTATATATTCAAATAAAAGAAACAAAGAAACAAACTACAAGAACAGGTGGTACATAACAAGGAAGATGAAATTTTCACATGTGAATCACATCTCTCCAATGTGTACGAAACATAATTTGCCGGGTTTCAAATTAGCTCATGTGAGCATAGTATTTTGGGAATGGTTTCCGAAGTCTATTTTTACTCCTTCCGTGAACGACGCTTTTTAACTGACTGCTTTGCAGCAGAGGTCTGAAATAGACAAAGTAGTGAAAAGGAAAGACAACAGATAGTGAGCAGAATCTAAGCAATCAATGGTTATCTTCGCACGATCAAGTTATTATTTCAAGTAAACAATATCATTTTATGGTAAGACAAATACTCATGCATTTCAAGAAATAAATCTTACACATTTTATCTGTGGTTGTTAACTACCCCGACCGATAACTGCTACCTTGCCGCGGTGGTCGGGCTTGAATGCCGCAGTGACCCAACAAGCTAAAATGGCTGGGACTCATGTCCCTGCAGGTCCTACCATGTCAGGAAGGTTGTTCGGATAGCGGTTAGACTAAAAGCAGTTACCATGAGGTACATGGGCTCCAGAATCCAATCGGATCAAATGGCGTATGAACCCATATGGGTCACCGGCAACCATGGGAACGCAGCTCCTGACGCTGCTCCGCTGCCTTGCGGATTAGACTCCAAGTCAAAGGCTCGGGGGTAGTCCTTTAGGAAAACCACCTGCTTCGGTCCGGGCGCCCGGGCAGTATTTCAGCCCTCACACAATATTGTGTGGCGCATCTTTCTTGGTGCCATATTGTACCAAGTTTTTCTGCGTTTAAATAAATAAAATAAAAATGTTAACTACAGTGGAGTCACCCCTATTCGATGTATCAGATGTGATAGGCATAAACACAGATTTCAAGCGCTCGATTATATAGGACTTTAACAAATATACCACCATTGTTTCCCCGCACAATAGAGTAGCTTTTATTTATATGAGCAAATTCTCATGCCGACACTTTCTTGGCTTTTGAATTTATGTGGATAATTTCCATCCCGTATACACAGCTGAACAGTCTAGCATCAGTAGTTCCCCTGTCTCGATTTATTTACTCCTATAATGGATTAGACTGAATCAACTTTAGCATATGATCACATTGATCACACACACTTATGTGGAATATAATTTTCGGCTACTTAGTAAGTAATATACTTTCAAAAAGAAGGACGACACACACATATAAACGTAGAAGTATTCTTCTGTAGTCTGATTACTAGCATGTAGAGCCAGTTGTATTGACATTGCAGAATAAAATGTAAAGCATATGACAATTGGTAATTCCTTAATATTTATTTATTGTAAATGTCATAATAAAACTACAACGAATTTTACAATACATGAATGTATCAACGTGGAAATATCAGCACAAATGAATATCACTCCGTTACACTTTACAACAGTTCAGTGAAAGGAAGTGAACAGAAAGATGATATAACATACCAGTTTCTAACTCTTGACAACAAGAGTATTTTTGCCTACACAAAATTATGCAAACCAGGAGCCAATGAAAAAACAATGCCGTCTCTTAAACATAGCATTAGTTAAAAAAGTTACTTAGGGATTCTTTCTCGGCAAAAAGGTTGAAGAAAAGCTTTTCTGCTAGGATCGATTTGATGTAGGCTCAAGTTGTACAACCTATGGAACTCCGAAAATCAACGTAAAAAACATTCGAAAGATTTTATTTATTTCACATAATTGTGAAGGACAGATGGATGATATGAGTGCTGTAACTGTTGTACGAATTCTGCGACTGTTGATCGGGAAACTCTTTTTGTACGATGGTCATTTTGACTGGTGATACGTATAGTAGCAGCACACTGATATCTTTATTAGGTTACATTATTTAGCACTGAGCGTGCTATATAGACAATTATCAGCCAAAAACTTATCCAACTGATGTTTAATGAATTAAACCAAAAAAACTTTTTAAGTAAACAGCTCAGAAACCAACCATAATGTTGTTATCACTCAACAACCACCTGCATTTTCACGTAGATAGAAATGAGCCACACCTAGTATGTGAGGGTTAATGATACTATCTGGCTGCTTAAACCTCGGTAGATGGCACGGGGTTTGAACCCATGAGTGCCTAGACCAGTGAGTCACAGCTCCACAACTATAATGTGACAAACACCAGTAAGTAAAATACTAAAAAATCACCTCACCTCAGTTCCTGTGGCTCCAGAAGCTTCCTCCGTAGAATCTGCATCGAGATCACCTCTACTACTACCTGTTTTATTAGCATCGGATTCATCACCAGAACCTTTAGAAATCTGAACAATATCGTCTTCACCAGATTCGTCTATTTCTTCGACTTCTGCATCCTTCTCATCATCCTCTTGAGGTGTGTCATCAGGTGTGGACATATCAGTTTTCTTATGAACATCGTGTTTGGACGGTGAACGACAGAAGTAGATACAACAAAGTAGGATCGGTAGCGTACATACAAGGCCAATCACAAAGATAAGCCATGGTTTTTCATTATACGTCTCTCGTATGGCATCCACAACACTTTGCTACACAAAAAGAGAAAATATAAAGAACACATTTATCATCGTTAAAGAATCATGTTTTTATTATTAATTATAGCGGAAAATAAGCGCTTAGTCTCTGAATCATCGTCAAGCACGATTATTGTGAATACAATTTTGTACACTCTCGGCGAAAAATAAAAAAGTGCGAAATCAGGAGATAACCCGAAAACGTAGACTTTAAGGTGGTATATATCAATAAAACCTAGCTAAGGTTCACTGAGAAACAATTATTTAATGGTCTTTTTCATCTTATATTTATAATTCAGTGTTTTGACTCCAATAGCCAAAAAAAGGCTTTTCAAATGACATTTTTGCTTGTTTGCCCTTATCAGTAAACTTCAGAATATAAACTCTTTCTAGAATTCAAACGTGCATGCTACAATGTTGTAGTTAAATACACTACCAATGAGCTATAAGGGCTGTGGTTGGTCAAGAAGGTCATGCAGAGTAACTGATGTTTAGTACTAGTTGATCAAGTGTGTAATGCGGCAACCAAACTCACTTTCACTTGTTAGTTATTATGTTTTACTTATTTACAATGATAATCATCTACGAAGTTCATGTATTTGTCCAAGCTAAACAGTTGAGACTTATGGTGAACTATATACGTCGGGTTGTTGTAGAATATGGCTCAATGTTTTTAAAAAATTAAAATAAGAACCTCTCAAATCAACGCTGAATCACAATCCACTGTACGTCAACAATTAATTACGGTCCTATATATATTAAGCATAATTTGGGATAAATGAATTTACTGGCGTTCCAACTTCAGATGATTAAATAATAGTTTGGATTAAGAGCATGTAAAAGTGGACAATAAACACAAGAAGAAGTGGTCAATGAAATTGTGGGACGGTGGTCCATTTCTCTTAGTAAGTGAACAGATTAACTTTTATAAGCATATCAATATCGAGACTGAAAACAGTATTTCCACAAAACGGTTTACACCTTGAATGCAGCAAACTGCGGTGGTTAATAACCCCATCAAATAGGAGAGAAGCTCTAGAATAAAATGATGATATACATCAGATGTGTTTCTGAAATTTATTTGCAAAATTTAAGTTTGAAACTAGTAAAACTGTAACTTACTGCTCTTGGATCAGCTAATCGTTCAGCTTCCTTTTTAACTCCCCATGTTTTTTCGGCGAATTCATCTGCTGCTCGTTTCGAATCTACAATCAGTAAGTTGTCAAAGGCTATTCCATCAGTCATAGACCATAACTCAAGACCAACCGCGCTCTGGAAACAAGAAAAGTTTTATGGAAGACACGATATGAAAATTCTGCACCATCGTTAGAAATAGATGTAAATTAGTATTAAAGCCTTTCAGTCCAGAAACAATGAAAATTGAACTTCCTATAAATGCTGGACGTAATTTCAAGCATATATAGGTAGTCAGAAGTAACTCACAAATGCAGCTTTACCAATGGATTACAATTACAAAACTAACAAAGAACAGAGTGGAAAGTGTACCAATTTAATTCGTTACATTCCCCAAGAAAAAAAAATTACGAAGATAAATACACAAATGATTATGACATCGACACGACATATTCCTAGGCTGTTGTTCTGGTGTAATTAACGATTTTTACCACCATATGAAAACTACGGTGACATACCTCAGTTATCTTATACGCGATTTTAGTTGTCACGGAATAACTTAATTTCGCTGAGTATAGTCTTAGGCCATTAGTATACAAACCTAGACTTCCAGAATCCAGTATATTCAGTCAATCTGAGTACTTAGTAGCAACTGTCCCTGTGAAATTGTTTGCATTCGGTAGCAGCACTTCGTTCGCAATTCTAAGAAAACACAACACACGTTTGGACAAGTCTGGTTTTCTTTTGGCTATCAGCCTATATGATGGAAAGGTCTGTTGTTACAAGTCAGACCGAATCATTTCTACTGCTTGTACTTCGTCATTCAGTGAGATCCCGAGTTCTATTGGTTTACTGAGTTGGACCTGACTGATAGGCTGCTACTTTTGCATAGCGGTGGGGTTTGCATACCTTAATGACTCAACGAGCTACACCGGTTGGAATGTTCCTCAAGATCCTACCATACCAAACAGATTATTTAGATAGCGGTTATACTAAAAGTAATTCGCCTCACAGTGTAAGTCACTTACGTCATGTTGGGATCTGAATGGTGAAGTTGGTGACCTGTTGGCTCTGTGGTTGCGCAACACTGACGCTCTTTCTGCTTCGGGTATCTCTAGAAGTAATCGACTCCCAAAGTGTGAGCAACCTGGAAGTTGTAACTGTCCACATGCTTCCATAAGTATACACAAAGGTTTCCTAAGCATCACCCACCTTCACCTTTTGACTTCCTGGCTCTGTAAGTACTTCTCAGGATAAATAACTGGAACGTTGGAGGAAACGCTGAGGTACAATTCAGCTGACCTACAATCGAGCTAGATATGCCTACATTCAAAACCTACCTGAATGTGATGTAGACAAGTGTACTCCAATTGTAACTTAAGTTGTAAAAGATATCTCTAATCTGAAACAACAAAACAGCTCAGTCTGATTGTATGATGTTGATGATGAACTACTGACTGGGTTCACCAAGATATTAGGTATTATGGTAATCTGAGATTAGCGTCAATAAACCAATTATTCCATTTTACAGTAAAGATAAATATTTCTGTGACAATTATTGCGATCTGCTAAAATTCTAAGTTGCTTAATAGTTCGTAGTCTAAGAGGAGCTCACAAGGAGCAAACCCATGAAAACCAGGCAGGCTTGTATCCTGGACGGAGGTGTTCGTCGTATCTCCACATTTCCACAGGTTGTGAAACAGGTATACTTAACGAAGTCCAATAACTGTTATATTTTTCGAGCCGAAGGCAGTAGCAATGGCAACTGTTGACCGAGAAGTTCTGTGGCAATGTCTGACAGGGAAGTGTCAAGTACATATATCGTATTAATCAAGGTGCTCTACTAGAGCTCCCTCGATCGCTTAAGAGCTTATGGAGAGTTGTCATCTAAAACAATGACAACCGGTGGCATGTGTCACGCATGCTTAACGTCTCCACTTGTGTTGAATTTTATCATAGATTTGCCGAAGAATGTAACAATGATCAACTTGTTGCCAGGGTAGACTTGCTGATACAGAGTATGCGGACATAAATCTATCTTAAGACGCTAAGAAAATGTATTTTTGTGAATATTTTGGGCATAAGTCTTCGACTGATTAGAATGTGACTAGTGTGCATCAACTCCCAGTTTAAAAATAGGGAGGGTGGTGCTTGTGAGTATGTTGACCACTTCACTTTATTTTGGAAGTTGCTGACGAAACCTTAGCACGGATAAAAAAGGTATTCGCCAACTTACATCAGCCCTAACGGAGACGTGATATACGACCATCCATCACAAGACGTATGTACCGTGTAGCAGTTCACTCCGTTCTCCTTTATGGCTGTCAGACAGACACAGAAAAGAGAAGACTTGAAGAGGCTAACTGACTTTGACCATAGGCAACTGCGTTCTATCTCCCGTGTTAAGCAGGACATGGTGAGTAATACTGAGGCTGAGCGCAGTGTTAGGCGAGGAAGGCGAGCCAATTGACGCCGTCGTGAAGCTTTATCGATTGAGATGGCTAGAACATGTTACGCATGCCTAGCCATAGCCTTCCTCCTCGAGGAATATTAGCCGACAGTAGACTAGACTGGAAAAGTTAGGTGGGGTCAAATCAAAACATGGCATCAATCCATGAAATTTTTGATTACTGGTGAGAGGGAGGTGTGGACTGCCTGGAAGGAGTCCTCGAGACGCTGAGAATCCAAGAATTGAGACTGTTGTTGATGTGGCTCAAACTCGTTCTCAACGGTGCATATGCATTTACTCTCTATAAAATCTTAGGTCCGTCACATGAAATCCTTGACAGCTAAACTGAGTCAGGTAGGGAGATGCAGACTTCCGGGTTGGGGCCCACCCTCGGGACTCTAAGAATCAATGGCTGGAGACAATAGGCGACATGGCTCGAAATCGTTGTCAATGGCCTTCGCAGATGTATTCAGTCTCTGTTATCTTTCATATTCCTTTCTACCATTACTCATTCTGTTTCACTCTTATACTTGTCAAAACTCTATTGATTCTCTTCACTCATTTTCTTGTCTACCTTTGTGTGCTCTTTGGAACGTGGCAACTCGAACTGCTGCACTTCGGTGCCAAGTTCTATGATGAATCCAGCAGCAGCAGCTCATTCTTTCTGTCGTATATTTTTTTCACTACTGATTTCTCTAAATTTTCTTTTTTTTCGCTACCTTTGTGTCTAACAAAGTGCAGCAACTTAAACATCTACACTTCCATGTAATTTTTTAAATGAAAAATAGATCAGTTATGATTAGTACACTGCAGGCCTACAACTGTACTTTTATGTCTAATTCTGTCGATTAATAACAACACTAGACATTATTTGACGTGTACATATTACATGGAGAAAATAAATGGCAGTAACGTAATGATGCAATTTTATTGTGTTACGGAACTTACCACTTCCGCCAAACCCCTGTATGGATTTTTCTCCTCGAAATAATTAGGATTGGGAATCTTTCTGGGTTTCCAGATTCCCTTGTAAGCTGGATTGGATATTAATGGAGGAGACCATTTGCCCTTATATTTTGGATTCGGTATCACTGGTCGATGCCATTCACCGCATCCAGGGGCACTAGCACATTTAGGATTACTTATTTTTGGTGCAACCCACTCACCATCCATTTCACGATCCCTAGAAACAAAATAAAAAACAGAAGAAACTAGGGTACAGCGGTACTGTATAGACGATGGAGTGGAGTAAAATTCAAAGATCCAGCATGAACAGTAAACTACTACTGAAAATTATGTTCCACATGAAATGAAATTCATAGACCATTCACTTCATTTGAATGCTGAAGAGTATTCATGCCATGTAATTTGGTATCTCCAATAGCATATGGGGCTAGAGAATTTAGATTATTTCAAGGTAATTTATAGGTAAATAGCTATTTTGGATGCCCGGCGCTCTTCACCGGGTTGACTGTCCATTGGATGACAGTCTAGGGGAGATGGCTAAACCCTGATTCCAAACCTCCAACGACTGGCGTATGAAGCTCACCGGAAGACGTATGGACAAAGGGCTTGTTGGATGTCTGGCCCCATTCAAAAAGGCGTATGAACCGAACTCCGGTCACTGGCTGCCAATGGATAGTGGACTCCCTACTCCACTCCTACTGCCTTGTAGGTCACACTTGCTTGTGTAAAGGCTGGAGCTGCACTCTCAGACAAAAGGCCGAGCGATTCTGGGGACATCACCCGTACCAAATTCTCATGAAACTTCATGAACTCTCTTACAAACGTGGTACAGTCAAGGCTGATATGGAGTGCCTGGGGCTACAAACCGTCTACGGACTCCGTCTGTGGAACAAGAATTGGAAAACCCTGTCGCAAAACCTTGCATCAGATCAGCGCGCCTGGGCAGCGATGATTCGAGATGTTCATGAAGCCGGCTCATCCTCCCGTAGGAGATAGCCGAAGTAAAGTAAGTAGGCTATTTTGGACATATTCAACCATGTAAATTAGGCCTAAGTTGAAAATGAATTTATGTGAAGGGATATGGGTTATCTATGATTAGTATGCAAACAACCGTTCACACTTTTTATCCCTGCCAAGTAATTCACCACTATATCAAATTTCACCTGAGAATTTAAATTACCTGCAAACACTTAGAGAACTTAGTTTAACTTATAATGTGAAGGAAATGTTGATCTCAAACTTCCTACAAATTAAACGAATAACTTCATGAAGTACCTAAAACTAATGGAGAAAAATCCTCCATGGATACAAATTTCACATGGCCACTAGCCCGGCTGATGTAAAGGGTCACTTGGTTACTTGTAAGCTACTTACCAGTCTTTTGGAGGTTCTACTGATGGATCGGGAATCATTTCTGGTTCATCATCTAACCAACCTGCAGGCTTTGTAGCGCTTTCGTCTTCAATAGTCTCTGGAGCATTCTCATCCCAATCGTCAGGTTTTTTGGCATTGACATCTACAATTTTTTCTCTTTCATCCCAATCATCCGGCTTTTTATCGTTAGGATCATCAATTTCTCTTGGGGGATTGACTGGAGGTCTGAAATAAAGAAGCTTTTAGAGACTATGCGGAAATGGAAGTTTTTCATAGAAATGCAAATTACACTTAGGGTGAAACAAAAACTAGGTGCCAGACTATTTCCTAGCCCACTAAGCGCCTCAAAACCACTTACTCTGTTCAAAATAAATTAAATGGCCTTCTTTAGTTGCAAACTGATATGCGGATATAGAAAACCATAAATCATAATGCGTAGACAATCAAGATGGATCAGGATTTCTGTTTAATCACATGCTTTATTGTAACTCTCAGTTACTCATAACTACAAGAAGGATGACAAATGGATGTGCGTCGGCGGCACAGCAGTAGAGTGCTCGCCGACCACGCAGGTGGTCCAGGGTTAGATCCTCGAACGACGCACTCCTTTACCTCACTAAGCCAATAACAAGACTGGTAAATAGGAAAGGTTGGGCATGAGGCTAGCAACCCCATACTGTAAAAATAACCACCACTACTACAAAAACTTGAAGCCCCATGTTCCACTGGGAACGTAAAGGAATAAAAGAAAAATCAAACAATAAAAGTTACTGCTAGGAGTCAATAAGAGTGGCACTCTACACGTGTTCTGGCTTTCGTTGTTAATTTTGGTTTACTCTGGGTGAGCAGTGCACCTCATGAATAGCGTGTCGTCTCGTATCATTTTGCATTTTCAGTATTCCCGTAAATTTCCAGCTGACGTTAATATAATGTACCACCTGAGGTGATTAGGGTAAAAGTGTACACCTGAACAATTCATCAAACCACATGGCGCAGCAAACTGTGTAAACACCATATATCAGTGGTGGAATTTAGTCAAGCATATACATACATATATACATATATATGCTAATAACATACCATATAGCCATATTTTTCCAAAGCACTGTGTGCCTTTATCCACTTCAAGCAATTTAGTGTGCCCTTATGTGTTCGAAACAACCGACCCCTATCAAGAAGTCTTAAACCCCATTAAATCATACTAGGTGTATCCTTCTACACTGCAAGCGACTGTGATTATCACCTTCATGACTAATCCACCCTGATTTCAATGTAATTTTCCCAGACAGATAGAACTGTTATTACGGTGGTCTGCGTATTTAGTAAGACAGCCGTAAGATAAACAGTGAATGATTAGTTAATCCACAGTGACGTGGCACACAAACTAGCCTGCTGACTACGTTAAATCTCGAAATAAAGATAAATCAGACGACTTCCGAATATACGAAGCATCTGTTTGTACAAGAATTTGATATGACAATAGGAATAATAGCCCCCTGAGAACCATAATGTTCAGTGTGTGAGAATCGTATTTCCTAGATTGACCATGTAAAACATTATTTACGGAAGGGATTTGGCTTTTAAACCTAGTCAATATGATTAGAAAACTTATAGGTGCAAATTAAAAATCGAGGAATATATTATGAGGACTAAACACGCTATAAACTTACTCAAAATCATCAAGAAGTGTTCCACTCTGTACTTTGACTTGGTCAATGTAGCGCTCAAAAGAGTTATCCGCACGCAAAACTATTGACTTAGAATATGAGTTAATCCAACTAACCTAGTGTATAAAGATGGGATTTCTTGTCAGAAAAATAGGATTCCAAATCCGGAAGCACTTTTTTAGCATGTTTCTCCTCGTAAACACCAGTGTTCGGATTTTTGTACCGAAATATGAAGTGAAACTACAAACATGTAATTGATTTCATAGGTACCTTATTATCCAATCCACACTTGTCGGGTCCAAACATAATGGTGTATGGAGTCTTGTCATTAAATTGTTTCTTTTAAAATAAATTAAAAATATCCAATGAAATTACCAAATCTAGACTAGGAGAAGCGCTTAGTAACTTGATGTATGCACCGCCACAATCCATCCCGTCCTGGAACTTGACATCATATTGGATTACGAGCTCATCGGTATCGAATTTCAAAGGCTTGGACAATTTCGTTGAGACAGCATGATGTTTAGCTTTAGACTTCAGGACTAAAGCATAGTCTTCATCGATTGCGCTAGTATGTGGAACTTCCACTGACCAAACACCGTCATATTTGGCAATAGAGTCTTCTATTCCATCTTTACGTGCCTGGGAAACCACAAGTCTACAGAGTGATTAGAAAGTAGCACAATACTTTTGGCTCAGATCGGAAGGTCCATTAAAGAACATAGCGAGATAAGCGCCACTGGGAACATTTGGAGCTTTAAAGGAAGGCTTAACCGAGACTAAGAAGTCAGAATATTCTTACCTTCGGCTTTTTAGCTCCTGAATCACCATCGGCATCCTCGGCTAAACACAAACACAAGGAACACACAGAGAAAAGCAACAAAAACCTCAACAACCCCATTATGACTAAGGCTTCAAACTGAGGTTTGGCGCCTTTCCTGGTTTTAGTCGTGCTGATTTTTAATTGGATGGTTTTAAATTCAAGAGATTAAAACAACAGATGCGTAAAAATTTCGTGAGAATTTCACATATAGAACAATAGTTTAATAAATATTAACTGACTTTCATTTGAGATATAAACAGATCATTAGTAGAAACGTAGAACTTTCAATATCCAATGTTTGTTAGGTGGCAGTCGGCAGGATACTTTAGACCAAGAATTTGTGCCTCTTGGCACTGACCAGAAGGGTATAACTGCAATCTTGAAGGAATACATATGTAGTCGACCTAGCAGCTAAGTATATACACATACTTATTAACCTGCCTGCCACTACGAGTAATGCAAGGGGGAGGTAGCATTATTGGCACCTCTGGAGCTTTGGCAGTTTCTTGTTTGTCTGCTGAAGTCGCTGTTGGGATGTCGTCGCCATCTATGTAAGCAGGTTTGAGTCTATCCACGGAGATCGTCATCTTTTTACCTTCTTTGCTCACTGTGAAATATTTTTCCGCGCGATGCAGTACTGGGTATGGGCCTTCATATGGAGGTTGTAGCCCTTTCCTGACGTTGTTGATGCGTATAAAGACGAATTTACAGGTTTTTAGATGGCTACTTAGGTTTTCTCTGCGGGGAGATTGTCTCGGAGCTATTGGTTGAAGTTGTAGCATTCGTCTGGTCAGTTGATCAGATCCAAGGTTGAGTTCTTTTCAATCTCACCTAACAACCACCTTTTTCATTGAATTCCTTATTTTTCGGTGAACATATAATTTGATATGTTTTAAGGCCGCCACACATATCCTTTCCGTTGCGGAAAGAAAAGCTGGCCTTCGACATCGCGTTTAAGCGACAGCTTGGCTGGATATATTCGTCCTATTGCTTGAAAATCCCGACCAATAGCTGCAGCCTTGACGTGGTGGTCGGGCTTGCATATCGCAATGACCCAACGAGCTACACTGGCTGGAACTTATGTTCCTGTAGGTCCTACCATGCCAGAAAGGTTGTTTGGATGGCGGTTAGACAAAAAGTAGCTACCCATTCATATACTATGATTCAAACAAACTCACAAAATATCATGCCGGATCGGTTGGGGCCCGGATTAACAAAGACCACGCTTCCTGCTGCTGTGTCACAGGGTATAAGTGATAAATATGCTACTGACACACACCAAACAAGAAAGAACAACCAAAAACAGGCTGCGTATGACCGGCCTCAAGCAGTTGTCCCCTGGGCTCTGCGGTCACGCAACACTAACCTTTTCTCTCTCCCCTTCTCAGGCGTGAGGCTAGCAACCCCACCCTGTAAACAAAGCTGCTACAGAAACTTCAGCACGATGAATCTCCTTGCGCCAAAAGAAGAAGTCCGTGCGGGGACATGGAATGTCCGCACCATGTACTAGATTGGCAAAGCTGCCCAGATAGCAAACGAAATGAAAAGATACGCGTTTCAAGTACCGGGGGTATGTGAAAGCAGATGGAACGGGAATGGACTCACCAAATTGTCAACGGGTGAGTCAGTGATCTACTCCGGTCACCCAGAAGATAACCACTCGCACACTGAGGGCGTGGCTATCATGATGTCACCAACGGTAACGAGGGCCCTAATACGACGGGAGGCGATCTCGCCCAAGACAATGACCGCCAGATTCAACTCCAAAGGAAGAAAAGTGTCAATTATACAATGCTATGCACCCACAAACAACGCAGACCTCGAAAAGAAAGAAGAATTCTACAGACAACTACAGGCAACAATGGACAATACTCCAGCTGGTGCCATTAAAATACTAATGGGAGACATGAACGCCAAACTGGGATCAGACAACACAGGAAGAGAACTCATCATGGGTAGAGAAGCTCTCGGAGAAATGAATGAAAATGGAGAACTCTTCGCGGACTTCTGCGCCTTCAATGAACTAGTGATTGGCTGCAGCGTATACAAACACAAGGATATCCACAAGGCTACATGGGTGTCACCAGATGGGTGAACCAAAAACCAAATCGACTTCATCTCAATACTGCTCAAGGAAGTGGAGACGCAGCTTACTGGACACAAAAGTAAGAAGAGGAGCAAACGTCGGCTCAGACCACTGTATCGTACAAGGAACACTGCAAATCAAATTAAAAGCTTTCAGAGAATCAGGAGCTGCAGATAGACCACAAGCCAAGTTCAACACTCAAAAACTAAAGGACCAGGACATAAAGGACATCTTCATTGCAAGCATAAAGGACAAAGCCGACACACAAATCAACACTAGCGAAGAGGTCAGAGTCGAAAAGCACTGGAACAACTTGGAAACAGTGTGGAGTCAAACCTGCATGGAAGTTCTAGGCAGAAAGAAGAGACAGGACGAGCAGTGGCTCACTACGGACACTTGGAGACTGGGAGGGTGGAGTTAGCTGATCAGTAGATATGGTGGTGGACACTAAGGTGAATCGCCCCATTCTGCAGGAACAGCATTAAAAAATTTGAAGGCTCGAGATATTTCTGGTTTTTATGAGGGCTTAAATCTTTATCTTGAAAAAGATAACAATGAACGCCTTGACAGATCATGCTTCTACCTTTAAATATATACCATTCACCCAGCCTATTGTTGAGATGCGACCATGTGGGATCTGCTCAGATTTATGGGGCATCTTATAAATTAACTTGCTGTCTATCGTCAGATCTTTTCATACCACTCCACAATGTCTTATCTCATTTATTTTCTGACAACGTCTTTACTTGATCCTCATTTTACTCCATTAAACTTAACATCTTATAGCTCTTCATTACTTATTATACTCCTACTCTCTGAAGGGTACGGTAGTGCACTAAATGCACAAAAAGGTATAAAATAAAAACAACTGGCATGAGGATAATTGTATTAAAACCAAAAGTTGATATCATGATAGTTTGTGATATATCTGTAGCATTATACATTGCAAATGAATGTTGTTACCCTAGGGTGTTTCCTTTATTAATGCATTTATTAATGATACTTGCACTTACCTATTTCATTACAATTTAATGATTCACCTCAGCACTTTAATTTTTCTAAAACAGATTCTAATCCCTTGTAAAAGGTGTACTTACCTCAATATCGGTTGGTTATCGTATGCCTACAACCACGGGATGAAAACGGAACGAAGTCGATTTTCCCGCTCAACCTGGAGGACAACTGTACAATTCAATAACTATACGGCCTAATTCAGAAAATGAGTGTATTATATGTATCGAATATTTAACAGTTGAAATACGATTAACTTGTAGACAATCTACGATTTGATATTATATCATACTTGATCGTGCCTGTAAAAATGGCATGCATTTTCATGTAAATTTGTAAATTTATATGAAATACATTATTATTATTATTATTATGATAGAAGAGAGAAGGATGGTGAAACCAAAGATTATCCAGTGCATCGACGAGCAACAAAAACAGGATTTGAATGCAAGCTACGAGACACTGAACAAAAGACAAAAGAAGAGTGCCAGAGAAGAGAAGAGAAAATATTATGAAGCCATGGAAAGTGAAGCAGAACAAGTTGCAGTACAGACAAAGGAGACCTCGCAACACTCTACCAAACAAATAGGTACCTATCGGGGAAGAGATCAACACAAATTAAGCCAGTGAAGGATGATAATGGAAAGTCAATCACCAAAGAAGTGGAGCAAAGGAAACACTGGGCTGAACACTTCAAAAGACTTCTAAATCGACAGCCATCTACAACGCGCCCAACGATACCAACGACGGAGACAGAGCTACCAGTGAACACCAACCCATTCGACGAAATCAGAAGTCCTGAAGGCAATCAAGATACTAAAAGCTGGAAAAGCAGCAGGACCAGATGGAATCCCAGCAGAAGCATTGAAAATTTACCCAGAGACAACAGCGGACTTGACAACGCCACTACTGGAGAAGGTGTGGAAAGTAAGCAAAGTACCTGAGGATTGGAAGAAGGGATACTTATTCAAACTACCAAAGAAAGGACACTTGAGTCAATGCAAGAACTGGCGTGGAATTATGCTCCTGTCCATCCCAAGCAAAATACTAAGCCGCATCATCCTGGAGAGAATCAAACTCGCAACCCTGGATGAAAAACTTCGACCGGAGCAGGCTGGATTCAGGAGAAACAAGTCATGCATTGATCAGATCGCCACATTACGGATCATCATTGAACAAAGCTTGGAATGTCAGTCACCTCTCTATCTCAACTTCATCGACTTTGAAAAGGCTTTCAGTAGACAGTGTCGATCGAGAGGTGCTTTGGCAACTACTTCGCCACTACGGGGTGCCACCGACAGTTATGCATCTCATCCAACAGCTGTACGACAATGCTGCATGCTAAGTAATCCACAACGGGAATCTCACGGAATCCTTCGAAGTAAAGACGGGAGTAATACAAGCTGGCTGCCTACTATCGCCAATGATTTTCCTGATTGCAGTAGATTGGATAATGCGATAAACGGCGGACAATGAGGAAACAGGCATAAAATGGACTCACACAACAAACTTGGAGGATCTAGACTTCGCCGATGATATATGTCTGACTTCCCACAAACTCGAAGATATGCAAGCGAAAAGCAACAAGTTGGCAGAAGAAGCATCAAAGATAGGAATTCAGGTGAACATAGAGAAGATAGAGGTGATGAAGATTCCTAGGCAACACCACCAACAGCAACAACAACAGAGAACAATCAGCATAAGTGGAAGGAACCTGAAAGAAACAACCTCCTTCACCTACCTGGGAAGCATCGTTTCAACTACAGACGGAACTGACGAGGATATCAAAGCAAGAATCGGAAAAGCGAGACAAGCTTTCACTACTCTCAAGTCTGTGTGGAGGTCAACAACACTCAGCATAAAAAAAATCCGGATTTTCAACTCCAATGTGAAGTCAGTGCTGCTCACCATACGGATCAGAGACTTGCACTGCTCGTCATAAAGAGCATCTCAAACAAACTACAGACCTTCATTTACAGTTGTCTTCGCTCAATACCACTCAAGATCAGGTGGTCAGAAAAGATCAGCAACAGGGATCTCTGGCAATGAG